CTCCTGGGTCAGCCAGCTGTCACGTCCTCTCGATGACCTTCACCATCCTAACCAGGTCACTGTGTTCCTAACGAAGGTGGGTGGCTGCTCTGTTGGCTCCTCCCTTTGGGGCCAGTTCAATCTCCTTACCTGAATTCCAAGGCCATGACCCTTGATACTTTGGCCTTCACCAGCATCCATGGAATCAAACCCAAATGAGGTTCTGTCACCTTGGAGTCCAAAATCTTTGTATCCTCAGTGAATCTAGACACCCTCACTCTATTTAATCTTGCCTTAACAACTTCCCAGGAGTACCTTAATCTCTTCCCTGGAAGCACAAACACTTCTACTCCTTCTCCTCTGAGATTGTTTAGTTTATTTCTTTGTTCAAGGCCTCTTTGTGAAAATTACGCCTGGAGAAGAGGATCCCAGAACTTAGCATAAAAGTCTGGCTGTGAGGTACAAAGGAAATGTTCCTTTCTATTATTTTGCTGATGAGAACACAGCAGCAAAAAAGCCAAGAAACCAAGTAGTCTCTCCATAATTCTCTTACACTCATCTACCTCTGTCTTCCACAGTATATGTGAGCTGATCATATATTTTAAAATATGCTTTTAGGTCATTATCCTTGTTAGAATCTTATGACATCTTAGTGGTTCTAAACCTGCTGTATCTCCAGGAAAGATTCTGAGGTTCTAGGCTATTTCAGTTTACTTTAATCAACATTCATAACAATTGATCCCTGTGCCCTCCAACCCTAACCTCCAACACAGATATAGGCTTGTGTACCACCTTGATGCTTCGGATTGTTTTAAGATTTGTTTTCCAATTACCTTGACCATATCAAAGATTATAGTCCATACAGTGCAAGACAGATTTTATTAGTAACATAAACATACACTCAGATTTACAAATATATCTATGATTAAAATAAAAGTCGTTATCACCTTGTCAGAAATGTACCCCTCCTAGTGATGTCTTTTACCTCTGTTGACCTATGAAGACTGTTTTCACTCAGTTATCTCCTGAAACTCCTCTAAAGTGTTAAAAAAACTCTGAATTCTGTGACCTATAGGAAAGGTGGAATATAACTTATTGTCCAAGCCAGTGCACCTCAGAAAGGAAGGGGGCACTATTAATAATTATTCTAGGACAACAGTTATAAGCCACTGATGTCCCAGGGAAACCAAATATATGGTCACACTGCAGGGGAGGAGATAGTGCATTTTCATGTGACATCCTGGGGTAACTCTGAGGTTCCTGGTTTGATTAGATTGCATGGGGAGTCAGCTGATGGCCATCTGTGTGTATACAGCTTTCTATCATCAGGATGGACACTCAATGAGTTAAGCTGAAGTAGCTTATGGGAAATTTTTTTAATGTGATTTGACTCAACATTTGGGTCACACCAGTTCTGGCCTTAATATATTGCAGCAATTTTATTGTGTGTTTCAAGTGAATTGCAAGCCGTGTTAACCTGCCATTCTGTTCTAATGACTCTAATGACTGAAATTAGTGCCAGGCAATGAGTTTGGCAATGACAGCATAAATGGTACTGTCACATTTCTCATTTTACTAACTGTATTATTTCAGCCATGTACAGTTAACCCACTGTATTTTATTTGCAAAGCACTCTTAAGTCACCAGCATTATTATTTGACTTTTAAAGTACATCCATTTGTGAATTTTTTGACATATGCATATGTTAAGAAAGAAATTTGCATTTAAATTTTCCAAGAACTCTAATTGCTGGTCTTAGCAGTTCTTCAATATCAACTGCTGAATTAAATAAATAGGTCAAGGCTGAAGGACTTGCAGCAAAGGGAACATTGAGTCAAATCAGTCTAAAATAAGATCACATTTTCATTAAATATCCAAATGATGGTTGACTTTGAACATTTCCTACCCGGCTCACAGCTGTATCTCCAGCACCTAGAACCACAGCTGGCATGTAAGCACACATTTAATATTTGCTCAATAAGCACACATTAAATATTTGTTCAAAGAATACATAATATTCTCTACAGCTTGCTTTAAGATATTCGTGGCATGGGTTTTTTACTCTCAAGCATTCTGTGTTAAATATCTATTTATAATATTCCTGTCAATGTGTTGTGTGGAGACTTGCAAATCCCTGGCTTTCTATAATTATTGATTCAGTTAATCAACAAGTTCTGTAAGGCTGTAATTTGCAGCATTAGTATCCTTTGCTTCAGTAGAACATTTTCCACATTCTTCTTTCAGTTATAATTCACATTCCCCCTGACTTTCAGATTTGTCCTTTGCTTCTCTTGTGCAGGCCAAGAAACCAGATAATGTAACCAAATCCATTTTTGCTCCATTTAAAGTTTTATCTAGGGTAGTGTTTCTGTGAGTCTGGTTTCCAAATGAAATCTGAAGTGCTACTTTAATAAAAGAAAGGGACAAGGGAAAATTAGTAGTTAAATCTTAAAAGATGATTTCTTCCTATGCTCAGTAGCCTACATGAGAGCTACTATCTGTCCCTAGAGAGACCATTTACAGATGGAAATATACATATTTTCCCCATACCTTTAACATATCATCAAAAAAGGGAATATTTTCTCTAGTGAGAAATTTTATTGTTAAGGTTTCAGGCCTACCCTATTTGAATTGTAGTTCCTATATGTGAATCATCTCTTTTATCATTATTTAGATAAACTTTCTCTTAGGAGAAGCCAGGGTGACCTATGTTTTTTTTTTTTTTCTTAATCCTGTTTTTTTTTTTTTAATCTTTCTCACCTTTCAGGATACTAGTGCTCTCAGTTCTCTTTATCATCAATCAAAATATTTATCTGGACTGATTATGATACTAGTAATTTTTACTTTAGTGTTTATCTTAATACATTTTCCTCTTTGAAGTATTTGCATTTTAACATTCTTTTTTTCTTTTTTTATTGAAGTATAGTTGACGTACAGTATTATATGTTACAATATTATACATTGTTTCACAATGTTTAAAGGTTATATACTCCACTTATAGTTATTATAAAATATTGGCCCTATTCCCTGTGGTTTACAATATATCCTTGTAGCTTATTTTATACACAATAGTTTGTACCTCTTAATCCCATACCCCTGTATTTCCCCTCCTCTTTCCTTCTCCTCATTGGTAACCACTAGTTTGTTCTCTATATCTGAGTCTGCTTTTTTTTTTTCGTTATATTCACTAGGTTGTTTTAGTTTTTAGATTCCACATATAAGTGACATCATACAGTATTTCTCTTTCTGTCTGACTTATTTCACTTAGCATAATACCCTCTGAGTCCATCCATGTTGTTGCAAATGGCAAAATTTCATTCTTTTTTGTGGCTGAGTAGTATTCCATTGTGTATATACACCACATCTTCTTTATCCATTCATCTGTTGATGGACACTTGCTTCAGTATCTTGGCAATTGTAAGTAATGCTGCTATGAATATTGGGGTGAATGTATCATTTTGAATTAGGGTTTTTGTGGGGGGTTTTTTGATATATACCCAAGAGTGGAATTGCTGGGTCATATGGTAGTTCTGTTTTTAGTTTTTTGAGGAACCTCCGTACTATTTTCCACAGTGGCTACACCAATTTACATTCCCACCAATAGTGTACAGGGGTTCCCTTTTCTCTGCATCCTCACCAACATTTGTTATTTGTGTTCTTTTTGATGACAGCCATTGTGACAGATGTGAGATGACATCTCATTGTGGTTTTGATTTGCATTTCCCTGATGATTAGTGATGTTGGGCATCTTTTCATGTTCCTGTTGGCCATCTGCATGTCCTCTTTGGAAAAATGTTTATTCAGGCCTTCCGCCCACTTTTTAATCAGATTGTTTGTGTTTTTTTGATGTTGAGTTGTATGAGCTGTTTATATATTTTGGGTATTAGCTCATTGTCAGTCATATCATTTGCAAATATTCTCTCCCATTCAGTAGGTTGTCTTTTCATTTTGTTGATGGTTACCTTTGCTGTGCAAAAGCTTTTAAGCTTAATTAGGTCCCATTTGTTTATTTTTGCTTTTATTTCCTTTGCTTTAGGAGACAGATCCAAAAAAAATATTGCTACAATTTTATGTCAAGGAGTATTCTGCCTGTGTTTTCCTCTATGAGTTTTAGGGTTTCCGGTTCTACATTTTGAACTTTAATCCATTTTGAGTTTATTTTTATATATGGTGTTAGAGACTGTTCTAGTTTCATTCTTTTACATGTAGCTGTCCAGTTTTCCCAAGCACCACTTATTGAAGAGACTGTCTTTTCTCCATTGTATATTCTTGCCTCCTTTGTCATAGATTAATTGACTATCCTTTCCAATTTTAGCCATTATCTTTATAAATGGAATTTTAGGTATCAGGGTAGAAATTATGTTTTGCTAGGAGCCATACCAACTCCATAACACATGCACATGCCACCAGGCCCCACACACCCCACAGACTTGGGCACCAGCCTGTATGTGGTTATGGATATTTTAGCTAAGAGTAAGGCTAAGCCTTCTGTCTCTTATGACAGAAACTTTATTTTTACTGTCCATGTTTTCATGTAACTTTAACAACTGGATCTTCTTTTAAGTGAAGTATGACTTGGTTTTATCATCTGGCCAGTATTGGGAATGGGTCTACGGAAGCAAAAGGGAATTATATGGAATTTATGCAACATCGTTACCATTTGCCTTACTTAAGTAGTTTCAGTAAATGAACCAAAAACATATTTGTGAAATAAAAAGTAGCAGGTAATAGTGTTCTAATTAATTTGTTTTCATGCCAGTCTAGTGAATGACTTCTGTATACCAGATTCTCATACTAGTATTGTTTGCTCTAGGATGACGATATGGGGGTTGTCTTGGACTTCACCATTTATGTACAAAAGAGCAAAAAGGACATTAGATAGTGGTTTCACCCGTAAGACAAGTGCTAGGGCAAAGGCTTCAGAGTATTTGTGAGATAATAGAGATTCACTAAAATAAAGCAAAGCTGTATGGATTTTGAGTTACAGTGTACACTGATTTCCAATAATATTTATATTGCAGGTCAGTTGCTTCGGTTAAAAATGTTTCGAGAGGATCATGGATCGTGGATGACAATGTTCTTCAGCACAATTCTCTTTCTCTTCATATTTTCTCACATATACAACACGATTCTTCTAATGGACGGGAACATGGGGTAGGTTGTCTTTCCCCTTTCTACTGTGGTGAGTGTTATATTTGAAACTTGTAAGAATTCAATAATTTTTTAGTTTGTAGTAACCTAAATCTTCGTTACAAATATTCTACCCTAATAGGGATAATCTGTGCATTTTTCTTAAGACATTTAGAGTCTTTTATCCAAGAAGCTTATCGCACTTTGCAATACTTATATAGTGTTCCTTATTCTTTAGGTCTTCTCTGTGGAGTAGTTTGAGAGCAGGTAGTAATTTCATTATAGTGACGGAGAGTATGAGAATCAGGAAATCTTCTTGACTTGTTTATAATCACACAATCAGTAGAACTGTCCTAAGATGTAGCTCTCCAGGTTTGCAATTACATTGCTCTACAATGCGTGGCTAAATAAAAGTGTTTGATACTGGTGGCATTTTTTTTTTTTAAACTCTCTTGGCAGTTCCAACAGAGAGAGCTTTGTTATAAATGGGCCTTTTTAAAAGTGGGCCACCCTGTATTAAGTCCAAGGTTGTAATCTATACTTATCAAATCACTAATCAAATCACCATGGCATGAAGGTGTGCTAACAAGTAGATTGTAGATTTTTTTTTTTTAACTTTCTCCAGTTCTTGCTTTGCTCTTTACAAGTTTTAAGGGCAGAGTGTAAGGAGAATGTCTTAACTTACAGCTTTAAGAATTAGATTAGTGACAATAAGAAACCACTTTAGATACTTGTTGTACACTAAAGTAGTTCCTCTAGAAGGTTTTGATCTATCCTCTCCAATAGATTGGAAAGCTAGCTCATATCCTTTTCTTCTAAATGTAGGCCAGGCAAGACTGCCGGCCAGTTCCACAGTGCAATTATTTTGATGTTATGTATAGATTTTGTCCACTACTGTTCAGTGCTGAGAGGGATAACTCAATTAAAATTTTATTGTTTTCTTCCCACCATTAAAGAGATGAATAGTAAAAGAAAAGCAGGTACTTCACAAGGTTTATACTTTAGTCCATACTAACAAGTGGTAAATTCAAGAATGTGATTGCAGATCAAATGTTCAGGCTTTAGGAAGTTATTAAAATGCTTTGTCTGTAATTATTTCTTGGGCTTCAAATGACGCCATTCCTACTGGGTCTATTTTTAAATGGTGGAGTTACAGATTCTAACCCATGGCTAGTCAGAATAAGCCTCAGCCTTAGAACAGTGCCTGTATAATGGAACCGGGTAATGGTGTTCTTGGGATTTATCTAACAACAATCAAAAGTCTCTCTGAGAGGAACTGTGCATTCTCAGCCCTGGGACCAGAAGAGGAAGTGATCCATGTAAAACTTACTCTTTTTAAGCTGTTGCTGGAAATAAAATGTTAAATAGTATATGTGCATAAAATATATCCTTTGCTCTGAAGTTGACTTTTCATCTAATTCTACTTTTTTTTCTTTTTTTTTAATATGGAGCTAATGAGGTCTGTGCTAACCAGAAGTGCTTATTCTGAGGAAAGAAGTAGAATTAAAAATAATAAATTAAATGCAATAATAGATATTCCCTGGCACATTGTAAAACAATCAGCAGCTAATAACAAAGCTAACCTTAGTGAGAGCTAACAGTTATTGACCGCTCAGTAAGAGACACAAATTGTTTCAAACCTCACAATGACCCTCTGCAATAGGTATTTTTATTATCTCCATTTTACAGATCAAGAAACTGAGGACCAGAGAGGTTTTGTCACTTGCCCAAAGTTACATTATAATTAAATCTCTATTTTAAACAGTAATAGAGAAGGGGTTGAGCTATTAAGTAGTGAATTCTAGTAATACCGCCTGCTCTTAAGCTAGCACACATTTGATGGATGGTTGATCCTGTTGCTCAATCACCATGTGCCTATTAGCCCTTCTTTGTATTTTTATCATTCCAGCTGAATTTGAAAATTGAAAGAAGTAGGAGATATGTGCAGGAAATAAGAGAAGAGTTAGTCTAGAATTTATGTGTATCTGTCTTAAGTAAAATTGAAGGTGATTGTCTTTTATTCTCAGACTACATAAATTCCATATTCTTATGTAACTTTTGAACTCTTCACCAATATGCCTCATCTTTGTTGAAAAGGATCTTTGCTTGAGAGGACATCTTTAATGGTGCTACTTTTTAAAGAAAAATCCAAAGCAAGGGGAAAATGGTTTATTTCTACACATTTAAAAATTAAGTCTCCATTTATAAAAGATGTATTATCAACAGTTACAACACATGCCATTTGAACTAGTGAGCGCTTTAATGTAGAAATGCAAACCTGGAGGAAAATCAGTTCTTAGAGCAGGTGGATACCACTGTGCCTTTGGGGTGGAAGCACCATATTACCGGAGGCATTGCCCTATCCTGTTTAGGGCAGGGAATGATGGAGCCAGAGGGAACAGAAAGGACAACAGGCTGGTTTTATATCAGAGGATTGCTGGTGGTAGAGAGGAATTCTGGCTTCTTTACACTGAATCTGATTTGCATTGGGGATTTCAACCTGTGCTGATCTGTGGACCTTTCTAGGAATATTGGTCTAGAACCATTCTGAAAAGGATTTCAAGGATTTTCTATGATGGCTAGACTTGTGTTTATGTATTTTAGAACTCCTTTCCAAAACAGAAGCTGTTAGGCCTGCAGAGAGTGGATTCAGGATTTAAGAAAGGAAAAAATGAAGTTTCCCTAGAATAATTTGCTTTTTTCCCCCCAATTTTAGAATTGTTTGTAAATTTAGTCTCAACCAGAGTTCCTTGATCCCTTGTTACCGAGAACAAAGTCCCTAGATTTATCTGATCAGAACTGATAGTTTTAGCCGGAGCTCGCTTGATAAGAGTCAAGTTGCGTGCTTCTGGAGCTCTCATTACAGTGAATGCCCTGAAGTGTACACTCACTCATGGCTTCAGCGATCTGTGGGAAGCCAGGCTGAGAGGCATTGAGATGGATAGGGAAATAGGGGAGTTAGAGATGTGCTGAAGGGACCAAGACAATCCCTATTTCCTACACTCAGGGGAAAGTTTCTCCTCTCACCTTTGATTCTCCCTCCACCCCTCCTGCCACCAAAGTGCTGCTTTATTCTTTAAGTCACCAAGATGAACTCAATTCATCTTCCATAAATGTGTGAGGTCGTAGGTGAGGGTTCTGCTGCAGAGAAGGCTCTCATCCTGGGCAGAGTTTTACATCTAGACATTTTATGAACAACTTCCTTTTTACAAGGTGGCAGACTAGCTAACCTGAAGCCTCTCCTCCTACAAAACCTTCAGGAATGCTGAAAAATACAATGCAGACTTAGACTTCTTTTCCCTCTTCGTTTAATATTATTTGCTTATTTTTATTTTTTAGATGCGATTAACATTGCTTGATTGATTGAAATATAGTTGATTGACAATATTATGTCAGTTTCAGTGTACTGTATAGGGATTTGACATTTGCATACATTATGAAATGATCACTATGATAAGTTTAGTAACCATTTGTCTCCATACAAAGTTATTACAATATTATTGACCATATTCCTTATGCTTAATATTACATACCTGTGGCTTATTTATTTTATAACTGGAAGTCTATACCTCTTAATCTCCTTCACCTATTTCGCCCCCATCATTTCCCTCCCCTCTGGCAACAACCTGTTTGTTCTCTGTATCTATAACTCTTTTCATTTTGTTTTTAAGATTGCACATAAAAGTGAGATCATATGGTGTTTGTCTTTCTCTGTCTGACTTATTTCACTTCGTGTAATACCCTCTAGATCCATCCATGTTGTTGCAATAGCAACGTTTCATTTCTGTTTTTTTAATGACTAATTGTATATGTAATACCACATCTTCTTTATCCATTCATATATGGATGGACACTTAGGTTATTTCCATATATTAGCTATTGTAAATAATGCTGCAGTGAACATAGGGATGCATATATCTTTTCAGATTAGTGTTTTTATTTTGAGGGGGGTAAATACCCAGAAGTAATATTGCTAGATCATATGGTAGTTCTCTTTTTCTTTTCTTTTCTTTTTTTTTTTGCGGTACGCAGGCCTCTCACTGTTGTGGCCTCTCCCGTTGCGGAGCACAGGCTCTGGACACGCAGGCTCAGTGGCCATGGCTCACGGGCCCAGCCGCTCTGCGGCATGTGGGATCTTCCTGGACCGGGGCACGAACCCGTGTCCCCTGCATTGGCAGGCAGACTCTCAACCACTGCGCCACCAGGGAAGCCCCTATTTTTCTTTTCTTGAGGAACCTCCATACTGTTTTCTATAGTGGCACCAATTTACATTCCCAGCAACAGTGCACAAGGGTTCCCTTTTCTCCACATCCTCACCAATGCTTGTTATTTGTTGTCTTTTTGATGACAGCCATTCTGACAGGTGTGAGGTGACATCTCATTGTGGTTTTGATTTGTATTTCCCTCATGGTTAGTGATGTTGAGCATCTTTTCATGTGCCTGTTAGCCATCTGTATGTCTTTGGAGAAATGTGCATTCAGGTCCTCTGCCCACTTTTAAATCTGGTTCTTCTTTTGATGATGAGCTGTATGAGTTCTTTGTATATTTTGAATATTGACCCCTTATCCAATATATTGTTTGCAAGTATCTTCTATTCAGTAGGTGGCCTTTTCATTTTGTTGATAGTTTCCTTCGCTGTGCAAAAGCTTTTTAGTTTGATGTAGTCCCATTTGTTTATTTTCACTTTCGTTTCCCTTGCTTGAGGAGACAGATCCAAAAAAATATCGCTAAGACTTATGTAAAAGAGCATACTGCCTATGTTTTCTTCTGGGAGTTTTATGGTCTCAGGTCTTACACTTAAGTCTTTAATCCATTTTGAGTTTATTTTTCTATGTGGTGTGAGAAAGTAGTCCAGTCTGATTATTTTGCTTGTAGCTGTCCAGTTTTCCCCAAACCCTGATAGACTTTTTATAAATGCATAGCTGAGCTTTACCCAAAGATAAGGAAAAACCGTGAGGCCAAAAATGAAGAAGGATCTGAACACCAAGGCAGTGAGCCTGTGAAGTGACACTCAGGCAGTGACT